TAGCCAAGCCACCAAATTTGGTGGGCTTGTAGTGATGTGTCAGCATCGCTCATCCACTCATTACCCATGTGGAATATGGGTCCAATTTGAATGAGTGGAAAGGAGGCATGCTGACAGCATGCACTACTAAGCATTAAACTGTTTTGTGGCTTGGTACGCAAGGCATACTCATATTTCTGCAATATATATTATTAAAATATATATATATATATATATATATATATCATTGCTACTCTCTTTCGGTTTTGTGGAAGTGTCCGGGTGTTCAAAAAATTAAATTATCTAATCCGGTTAAAGTAGAATCATATAAGTTAAGCCCATACATGAAATATATTTTAACCAATACCCATGTGTAAATATTACAATTGGTATGAGATTTAAGATATGTGTGAGATTCTCTTTGATTTTTATATAAACAACACCTATTTAAATAATAATAATATAATTAAACTTTGTGATCTAATAAAACATATAATATAAGTAATTGCTTTAAAATAATCTAATCTAATTTAATATGAAGAAAATAGATAAAAATGATGTGAAAATTGTTGCAATTTTATAATTCATGATTTTTAAAAATCTAATCTAATAAGAAGAAAATAACAAAATCACATATATGTTGAAGGAGATAAAAGTGCTATGAAAATTATTATAATTTCTAATCTGAAAAAAAAATCAAACATACAATATAATTAATTGCTTTAAAATAATCTAATCTAATCTAATATAATAAGAAGAAAATAGATGAAAGTGCTGTAAATTTTTTTGATATTTCTTGATATGAAAAAAATCAAATATACTATATAATTAATTGCTTTAAAATAATCTAATAAGAAGAAAATATCAATGACAAATACATGTAGAAGGAGATAAAAGTGCTACGAAAATTGTTGTAGTTTCTTGGCATATAAACATTGGTATGTGATGTTGCATGTGAGAGAAAAACATTTGTAAATAGAGTTCTATTTAAATAATAATAGTATAATTAAACTTTGAAACTAATTATGTAGTGTCGTGAACTACTTGAATTTTAGTTGGTGGGAGATCGCCATGTTGTGTCCTTATATCGCAACTGTTTATTTTAATTTTTCTGTTTTATAATTTTCAAAACGATTTTGTCTCTTTAATTTGTTTAGTAGATTTTGCAAATACTCCGTCCACATTATGTACATTTGTAGGTCTGCGTTGTTTTGGGGTTTGACCTGTGCAGCGAACATTATTTGACTTACTAATTTGTTTGGTTTTTTCTTATATGCCATTCTTCTTGTATATATTTATAAATTTGGCATTTAATAAATTCATTTAGGTTTATGTTTCAATTTAAACTATATCATTATCTTCATACTATGTATATCCAATAAGAATTCATCAATTTATCAACTTACTCTTACTTAATGGATTAATTTGAATTTCAATGGTCTTTTTGTCTATTAAAAGATTTTTCCGAACTCGTGCTTTTAAAGAGAGTATGATTGATTTGACCTAGTATTTGTTATGTGAAGAGTGGGAGAGGGGGGACCTGGGAAGGAGATTATACACGGAGTGAAATGAAACAAATGAACGTTGGAAGGGGTTTGTGATAATTTGTTGGATGTATCAAGAGGAGCTCACTTGTCAAAAGTGTAAATGCACGAAAAGAAGCTTTCCGAACTGCTGATTTTCTTCTTTATGAAATGTTTCCATTAGAAGAAGATCAAATTTTCACTCCTTAGAATATCTAAGTTTTGTGGGGACCACTTAAGGTAGAATTAGAGAAGTGTGAATTATTTTCTATCTTGGTATGTGTTTCTTTGGCACTATAACCTATTAAAGTTCAAATAAAACGTTTTATCTATGCCTTTATATAAGTGCACATAAACACCAAGTTATTGTTAACAATTTGATTATATAACGATTAATTTATTAATTTAATTAGAGTTACATAATTAACTATTTCAATTTTTATTTAAAACCACTCTAGATGAGATATAAATGTTATATGTAGCTAATAAGCACTAAAAAATGTTTAATTATAATCTCATACTATTAAAAATCTAATGTTTAATATAATTTTGTACTATTATAATCTAACTGGAGTTGCATTATTACATAAATATTAGTTCCCATAGTATATTAAAACATCATACACTTGATAATCTAATACTATTATAATAATTGATTTATTTATTTAATAATCTTAAGAATAACTATACTATAGTATAAACACTTAATTAATGTGATTTAATAAGATTGAGAGTTATGATCATAGAGTAAATTGGTTAATTTCATGAAAGATGAAGGATATTTTTGGGAAATGAAAGTTTTTCTAGTACTCTCTCTTTTAAAGGGAGAATGATATATAAGTATACACTCTCTTATATATGTATAATATATGTGTGTGTGTGTGTGTGTGTGTGTGTGTGTGTGTGTATATATATATATATATATATATATATATATATATATATATACTCTCTTTTAGTATATATGTATATATAAGTATACTCTCTCTTATATATGTATACCTCTCTCTCTCTCTTAGTATACTCTCTTATATAAGTATACTCTCTCTTATATATGTATAATATGTGTGTGTGTGTGTGTGTGTACTCTCTCTCTTAGTATATAAGTATATATAAGTATAGTATATTACAACGGCTATTTCTTCCCCATTGACCCAACAGGCAATCGCTACTTATGCGATTCTCTCTCTCTCAAGTTATAACTTATAAATATATACAATATATTTACATATAATATATGTATATATAATATATAGTTACATAATAATTTGTAAGTATATACTAATACATAATTATATAAAATATAATAATTTTAAACTAATTTTTAATATTTTTATATAAAAAAAAAGAGTGACCAAGGGATTTGAACCATTGATTTCCGGTCCGGGCCCGGATGGACAAATCTAAGTGAGCCCAACAAAACTATGATGTAAAAAGAGTGACCAAGGGATTTGAACCATTGATTAGGGCAATACCAAACAAATCTCATAACCACAAGACCAGATGCTTCTTTGGGGGTATTGAAGATAAAACAGCAATATTCAGGAAAATACAATCGGATAGTTTTTGGTTTTGTCCGGTCGACCGTGAGCTTTGGGGCAGTCGACCGAAAATGTGCACAGCCTCAGGGCATTTCTGGATTTCTGTCTGGTCGACCGCAAAGACTTCGGCGGTCGACCGCAGACCCTGTAATTGATTTATTGTGTTTTGGACGTTCTGTTCGGTCGACCGTGACGTCAAGTGCGGTCGACCGTTAATTGGGTCGTGCATGTATCTCGATACCATGCTCACGGTCTGTGACAAATCTGGCCTCGTACACACCATCGTATACATCAAGCTACCTACTACACTGGCATATGGGACATTTGACATATAATCTCTATCCTCAACTAAACAAACGATATCAACGCTGAAAGATTGAAGTGGGGAGCCAATGATGTGCTAACTACTTTTGCATTGCCCTTAAAGCTGAATTTCTTCAACATCTTCTGCAAATAGCTCTTTTGTGTAAGCTTCAATCTCTCATTCACCATGTTTCTCTCGATCTCCATACCCAATATCTTCTTTGCTTCTCTAAGATCCTCCATCTTGAACTCGGATGACAACTCATCTTTCAACTTTCGAATAGCCGAAGAATTTCTGGAAGCAATAAGCATATCATCAACATATAAAAGTAAATATATGTGCTCACAATCCTGTAGCTTGTGCATGTAAACACATGGATCATATGAGCTCCTCGTGTACCCATGGCCAATCATGAAGCTGTCGAATCTCTTATACCACTATCTCGGTGATTGCTTCAAACCATAAAGAGACTTCTTCAACTTGCAAACCAATTCTTCTTTTCCTGCAGCTTTGATTTGGTACTTATACTATTATTAGCATACATTTAATAATTATTTAAATTTTCTTATTGTTATTATGTTATTAAACAATTTATTTAAGAGTATAATTATTAAATAATAATGTAATCATTGGTTTAGCACTATTGAAATAACTAAACCATTTATATTACTAATATTTATGTTTTGTGCAAATTTTATTATAATATCTATTAAATAATGGCAATAATTTTTAATAATATATGACTTTATGTTATAAAGAATATTACCTTGTTCGATAATTAATACCATCTTAGCAATAAAAAATTAGACGGTATAAATTAAAAATACTATAATTTAGGGAAAATACTTTATATAAAAATATTGGATCCTTGAAGTTTATGAGACATTTACTTTCCAACAAAAAGTACATCTATCATAAATTTTAAAGATCCAATATTTTTATATAAAGTAATTTTTATAAATAAAAATATTGTTAATTCAGAACATCCAATTGTTATTGCTGATATGATAATATAATTTTGAAAAATGTAATATTCCTTACAATATAAATAATCAATTCATATTTATACTATTATTAATAATTATAATTATGTACAATAATTTATTAAATAAATAATTTTGTTATTTCATTAAAAGTAATAATTCCTTATAATAAATTATAATATATGTATTAATTTTATTATTATTATAAATTATTAATATATTCTAGTGAATGACCAAATATATATTTTAGAGAAAAGAAAAGAAAAGAAAAGTATATATCTCATAAATTTCAAGGATCCAAATATTTTCATAAAAATTAATTTTTTAAAATAAATATATTTTTAATTTATAACAACCAAATTTTTATTACTAAGAAGATATTCATCATCGAATAAGGTAATATTATTCACAACATAAAAAAATAAGCCCCATTTATACTATTATTAATAATTGTAATTATGTACTATATAATAAATAATTATTACTATTTTATATAATTAATAATTCTTTACAATAAATTATCATATATTTATAAATTTTTTAATCATTATAAATTATTAATATATTCTAATGAATGACCAAATAATTTGAGAAAATAAAGAGACGCATAGTTAATGAGAGGTTATGGATCATTTAGCTTTATAAATCTATCTATTACCCCTTTAAAAGAGCGAGTTACTGAAAAAACTTTTCCTCCCCAAATTAACCTTCAACCGGAACCTATATACCAATCTCATCCCTTAGAACATCCGCAGATATCAAAAGCCCTAAATATTCCTTCGGTTCCTCCTCTCCGCCTTCTCCTCAGCCGATTCGATCTTCCGTTAAAAAATTTTAAGTCCGTTATCCTAAATCTTCCTTAGGTTCCGCCTTCTCTCCGCCTTATTTCAATTCTTATTACGTTACGCCTTCCCACGATGTTAAGCCATAAATTTCCAAAGATGATTGTTCTTGCCCTAATCATAATCTCTGCGCATCCGTCATCATCTCCTCAGCTGTTTGAAATTTGGCATCGGTAAGAATGATTTTTCTTTTATGCTCTTCATTTAATCATTTAATTTAATTTTGTTCTAATTACCAATCATCCCCTTCTGTTCTAATTCAACAAAAGGTCAAGGATTGTCCGAATCAGTGCTTGCTTCAATTCTTCGTATTGTTCCTTTTTCTGTTTCATCAGGTAAGACATGTATTCTTTTGGATTTTTATTGGTTTTGTAAACTGTGATTTCCTACATTTTCCCCCTTCATTCCAATTCTAATATATCCAGTAATACTAGACTTTGATGTTGATGGTTATCCAACTGACTATTACTGTTAAATTTTAAGTTAAAAGGTAGGAATCCTTCACTATTTTCTTATATTGATTCCCTTGGTATTTTTAAAAGTTTGCATATCAGAATCCTGTATTTTGTCATTAAAGGAAGAATTTCCATGGACGCACTCCTCTTGTTTGTTCAAATGCCTCAATGCTCAATATTAGCTTTACAACTTTAGTAGAAGTCCCATGTGTAATATGGAAGTATATTGGGATCATATTTGATTTTTTTTAATAGCATGCGCCTTATAGATCATTACAGTATTTTTGTTATGAAGATTTTTTAGTTGAAATTTAAGATTGAACGAAGTTAGGTTGATAATTGCGATACTATTGTTCTAACTCCTATGCTATAATTTTTAAGCTGCAAATGAATCTTGAATCTCCATAATTTGATTTAAAAGAACTGCCCTATTGACCTCATTTGTAAAAATAGCATATTCCTTTTAACCTTTAGTTAATCTTTTCCTTAAATGTGCAATACCAATCGATTTTTTCAAGTTTCACAATATATTAATAGCATCTTTTAATTTTGATGAAAGAGTTGTTAAGAAAGACATTCTTAAATGACTTTAAGACTCTAATAAATTTAAGGTTTTCGATAAGCATATTGTATATTCATATATACTTATATAGAATATTTGTGAACTGTTAAGATTACTTGTGAACTGTTATAATATGAATATACAATATGAATGCACGTTGTAAAGCTTATATGATAAAGCATCTTATATAGAACGTTTAAAAACTTGTTTCCACATAAATAGTTGTATCCACCTTAAATTTTTACCATTAGTATATGTTGTGAACATTTGAAAATATCTGGACATCTATTAACTCATCAAATAGATGTTTAAGGGCGTATATTCATTTGAGACAGAATAATTGGGATGATATGTTGGTTAAAGGTGTGTTTAAATGAATAACAGGAAAGATATTCTAACTGTTATTTAGGGATGATATAGTTTATATTATGAATATTACATGTCATTCAAACTCCCAGTCAAAAATTTTAAAAAGCTGATCTATCATATATCATATAAAACCATACTTATAGGTATTAATGCTTTAAAAAGTCGAGTATCATGCTATTATAGTACTGGTTTTGTAAACTTTGATTTCCTACATTTTCCCCCCTTCATTCCAACTGTAAATTTGAAAATTTGAGGGGCTTGATGTCCCCAATGGTACTTCTCTTATGTGGAGAGGTTTAATCCTAGGTAACATAGTGTCAATGAAATCAGGTTAAGTTTTAGTTCTATTGCCAAATTTTAACTTTAAAAGAGTTGTTATGAAAGACTATGATGGTTTTAGCTACTACAACGTGCATTCATATTTTATATTCATATTACAAGTTTTCATTGGGAGCTCTAAGTTAATTAGACTGTTTTTAAAGATTATGATTAAAAACAATTAATAATATAGGGTAAGCAAATCACTTTAAAAAATAAAATCACATCTACTTTTCATTCATTTTTGTTGCATCAGAATTTTTCATTAAGAAAATAGTTTACAAAATTAGTATATGAGTATAACCACTTTCCGTTGTACACCATCTTGGTGAAACGACAAGTAGAAAGGACGCTTCTTATCTGTTATTGGTTTTCCAATTCACGTGTCCTGGTCTGACCATTATCCTTTGTGTTTCCACCAAATTTTCACCTTATTTTAAACCTTATAAATTAACCCATAAAGAGATATCACATAGAGCAGGAAAACAACAGCTAATCAGTGAGAATGAGTGTACCAACTGTAAATAAATAATTACCTTCAAAACACTACTTTCCTCATAATTTTATCTATCGGAGCTTGTGCAATCAACTTTATCCTTTATCCCTATATTCAAACAGGTTCCTAAACATACTAAAGTGAAGAAGCTGATTTATACTTTAAAAAATTCCAAGTAATTTGATCAGGGACTCCATCACAAGTTTGCATAGATTTAGCGGAGTTGATTAAAGAACATAAGTACTCTCAAGTTCAAGAACTTTGTAAATATCCTTTACATTTCAAAATCAACCAAAGAAAACCACATTACCATTTGCATATTATAAAGAAGTTGTACCCAAAAGAAACAAACCATAACAAGCTTCGTACCTTTAGAATATAGATTTGTACCTTTAGAATGTATTTTGGTAAACACACCAACTACCCGCTGTTGACATCCTTTCTTATTAATCATAATTTCCCCCTTCACAATGATTTAACCATGACTATCTAGGTGCACAACAGCCAGCTATAAACATCTGGTAAAGATACAGATTTTTTAGAGAATTGTTTTTAGCATGTGGTACTTTTAATTAAAAAAAACAAATTAACTTATCATAACTTTCTCAAAATTCAATTAGAGTAAAATACCCTCTAAATTGTTGGCATCGCATTCAGAATAAGTTCTTGAGAAAGCTATAGAATCAAGAATATATCTATTTTAGATAAAAGCAAAATGAGTTTTGTTTATTAATTATTCAAAGCACCAATCTAAGTCCATTAGCTAAAATCTTCATAAATCTTAAAACAACAGTTTAATAAGCTTAAAGCTCCAAAGTACATTTGTTTCCCTCGACCAAAGATTATTTGATCTTATTTTAGATGGACTGTACTGAAGTTGACTGCCAATGCTGGCAAGCCTGGAACTAACATTATTTAATATTAATTTAAAATATAATTATATTTATGAAAAGATTTTGTATAAATTTAATGAATGTACACAATATATATGAACATAAGCTAAAAATTAAATCATAGTTAATTACTTAATTGTATACTCTACATAAGGTAATACTCTACTTTAATGAAAATCAAATTCTACAGATACCATGACATATTCCAAAAAGCATCATATTGTTTAGTTTATTAAATCATATTGTTTAGTTTATTGTTTAGACTGATGTTGCTGGTTCTTTATTTATTAAGGATTAAGGATCTGAATTGTTTTTTGTCTCTGAAAAACCAAATTTAATTGGCTTGCCTTAATTGAAAAGATTAGAATCCAGATTTCAATCAATTAACAACTTGAGTAGTTTTTATTTGGAACTTTCTCATTTGACCAAATTCACATCCTTTTAGAATCGATAAAGCGCCCAAGCAACGTTAGATATATTATTGTCTCATTTGACCAAATTCACATCCTTTTAGAATCGATAAAGCGCCCAAGCAACGTTAGATATATTATTGTCATATGACATACATGGACATTGACATTAATGGTTGGTGCTATATCAACTTTTGTGCGATTGTGTTATTAAAATGTTGTGAAAGTGTAAATGGGATCAAAGCTGCAAGGCAAGGGTCTGACTTGAGGAGCTTTAGTAGAAATAAGTGCAAGGAATTTTAGAATATTTAAAATAAATATAATATGAACATAATATTTGGGAAAATGAATTAGTACTTTGCATATCTAATGAAGCAAGTTAAGAAATTAAGAAATTAGTCCTAAGGTATTAAATTTGATTTCAATATCGCTAAAAGAAAATTATAATAACTGAAAATCTTCTAAATTTTTATGTAGAACTGTTTTCCAGTTAAAGTGGAGACTTTAGCATTCCTTCTGTCAACATAACTAAAACTTAACCTGATTTCATTGACACTATGAAGGGGTTGGACACTGTTTTTTATTTGTTCTGGTGGATTGTTTGTGTGTGTGATGTGGGTAGGGGATGCTTTGAAATTTTATATGTTGCCAACAGTGTTGCATAGACACAGGACGGTGGTGTCAAGCCTTAATGTTTTTCTCTTCAACTATCTTTTCTCTAACTATACAATAATCAATCTCAATATGTTTTTTTCTTTCATGAAACGCAAGATTATTTACAATTTAATGTTACTAGCTTAATATATAATGTTACTCTAATTTATTTAATGTTCAAATGCGCTTAGTCCTGCCATCATGACGCAGTAGATTTGAAGATACTGAAAGATAGCATTAGACATTTTTGATGAGCAGAGAAGTTACTATCTGTTGTCATTTTCCTTCAAGTTCCTCCCCTAAAGATCAATTTGAGTTGATTCTTACCCACCTTATCATTCTTTAAATGCAATAAGGCCTCTGTTCATTATATGAAAGTTTCGGAATCATAGGATACATGTACCATATTGTCGTGCCATAGGACAGGTGTAGTATGAATATGTAGTAAGTGAGCCTGATCAAGTTTGAATCTATTCATTAACTAATAAAATAAAACGAGCTTAAGCATGCAGCAATCAAGTGAAGCCAATCCGTTCATGAACATCTTTTCAAATTCGTAGTTATAGTTGTTCAAAGATTATTTTCTAATCCAATAATGTTAATGTCTCTGACTGTCTTTCGTCTTTCCTTCAGGGTTATTATGGGCAGTGTTAGCAACTATGTAGTTAACAATGGAGCATGCCCCGTCACCGTAGTCAAGAGCGTAGAAGCACATGAAGGCTAGATGATAATTCTAAACTTTCCAGTAAGTGTTTCTCAATAATAAATTCTGTAGCAACTTTTTAAACCCTTAGATCTGTCTAATTACTTACAAATGAGAGTTGGAATAAACATGGAGATTTCCATAAAATGGGTATTTAAGTGAAGATTATTAATCACATGTTAAAGAATTTTCTGGTTATATTTATTATAAAGAATTAAAAATGTGTAGAAATTAATTATGAAGATTTCCATAAAATGGGTATTTAAGTGAAGATTTGTTAGATTTTATGGAGATTTCCATAAAATAGATATTATTTAACTGTAGATTCTTTAACATTAGAAATTACTGATGCTTATGAATTTAAAAAGAGTACCATTGATAACTCTATGATATGTAGAAGTTTCACGACCATTAAAATTCCTCTATATGCAACCAGTAACCACAACTTTTAATCTGGGGTTTTATTGCATAAGCGCATTAGTGTCTGTCTAAACTTTATACAGATGGTAGAGTGAAGAAGTTGCTTGCGCAAGGTGTATCTCAAATCGATATCATGAAAAAAAAACCTTATCAGGTATGTGCCATATTTATTTCTTAAAAATTAATTCATCCAAGCTAAAATAACTAATTTATCAATATAATTCCTCTTGTCGGAATACATCAATATATACAAACATCTCCAAAATGTTAGATTTGAAATTAATAACATTAGCATTATCTTTCTTTGAAATGTTGTTTCACTTATTTCAGCTTTCTTTATTTAGTCTACATGCTATAAATATTCGTGTATTCAACTTTTATTAGTGATTGGACTTGCCTTCTATTAGTTTTGTAACTTCATATTTTTCATTAACTGATAGTTTGAATCACTTTTATTTTCTAGATAATTTAAATCTATTGAATGCAGGCATATTGCATACAATTGTATTTAACACAGCACTGGGACTTGTTCGGCCAAAAAATGTAGATTGTGAACTTTTTGAAATTACTCATGTGAGTAATTCTCCACCTTTAATGTACATGATATATAGGTCATTCTGTTGCTCATTCCAAAGAAATGAATCTTGTGAACTTGTATAAGAAAACTGGACAAATCAACATCTACACATATTTTGGTCTGCTGAAAAAATTTTAACTGAGTTAAATGATCCCATGCTTGCAAGGAATCCCAAAAACAAAGAGAGGTAACTTTTACTTTAGATGAAATATTATCTGTTTTGCAACAATCTGAGAATTCTCTTCTGCAGCCACAACTGGCGCAAGCCTAGCACAAATAGATATTTGTCACTGTTATGATTCACCTAACGTGTGTGTGAATGAAAAGTGCAAGCTGCAAATTCCTCTCTATAACTCAGCTATTAATTTTGTTATAAATATTTTCCGTACTCAGTGAAAAACTTATGCATTAACTAAATATTAGTATAAATACAATTCGTGTTAAGCTAGGAATTTAGGAACTTCAGAAATGCAAGTGGACGTGAAGTCGGATATCTACCTAAGGCCTATTTTTACATACTATGAATATCAGAAATATTTGAGGGTGCTTCAGCATTGCTGCCATTTTATCATTTAGCCAAACTGATGCGTGATTTAAGACATGAGGTTACCATACAAAATTTGGATCTTTACCCAGCTGAAGATAAAACATGTTTCCGTTTGATAGATCTATCATCACTTTGAATAAAAGTAATAACCCGAATTGCTAAGAATAAAAGTAATAACATTACATTATTTTCTTGGTATTTTCTTGGTATTTGCTTCTCATATATTGCAGATAAACGTGTGTTAAAACTGCTTTTATGAAGGAGCTGATACAAGTGAAACTGACAGAGATGGAAATACAGTCTTCAACTTGTACCTGAAAGCAATTCCTTTTCATTGTAATCTAAGGTAAACTAAAAGCTGCTAGAACATAACTTATCTTTGCAATCATTTACACAATGTTTTACTGGTGTCGTATTTTTTGATACGCCTGTGTGGCTCTCTCTCAACCATGGTGCCAAAGTATCTCAACAGAACATGTTATGACTTACAACAGTTCATCCGCAGTAGAAAAATGTAACTGAATCTATGGTACCTCTTTTAGACTTAATTATTTGTATTTATCCTACCATGCTATCTTCTCTTTGCACATTATGTTTAATTTCTCAGTAAATAAAAACTGATAGATTTGACATGTTCATAAGACATCCACTTCATTATCAACCACACAAACCAAGGATTTGTTATGACTATCTGCATGTATATAAATTTAACTAGCTATTGTGCATTGTTTTTTTGACTCTTGTATTGTTTCTACAGTATTTGATGAGAGGACTTTCAAGTAGACCATAATCATGGCATATTTTGGGTTGCGAAAAAGGAGTTAATTGAGTTACATGTACCTATGTTTGCAAGTTATCACAAAAACAGAGAGAGGTAAGTACCGCTCCCGGTAAATTTTATTTTAGACAAGGAAATCCCTGTTTGCAACAATCTGAGAATTCTTTTCTGCAGCATCAAACTGATGCAATCTTAGCACGAATATGGAGGTTTTTTGCTGATTCTCTGTATTTATTTTACGTAACTTGTGCAAGAGGTGTCACGACAGCTTTATCAATAAGGAGGGTGAGCTAAGTCATGGATCGATTGAACCCAAGTTGTGTCTCCTTTCAGAACCTTAACAGGTAAGTAATTCTTTTCTTGCACCTTCAATCAAAGTTTCTTTACATTATTCATCTTTATAACTAAAAAAGTGCTGCCATTTGCTATAAAAACAGTCAAATATCAGAAGGCTTTAATTGGAGGCCAAATACTCTCTGTTGACTCAGGAATGTTAGTATTTAAGTTACAACGCTTTTTCTTTGGTTCTCTATTTCAACTAGCAGAAAGATGTTCTTACATTATTCTAACTTGATATTTTCCTATCATTTACTAATTTACATGCTGAAATTGGACAGGTGGAAGACAACATAGCAATCAACTCTAAAGCAGTCAACAATTGCAATCAATTTCCAAGAGCAGACTTCATGAGCACTATAATTCCTCAATCTAAAGGGATTAGCCACTTATTGCTACTAAAATTTTAGTACGGTACTTTAAACTTTTGATGCTAAAGGAGTTCGATATCAAAAGTGTTGTCCGACATTTAATTGAATTGAAGTTATCCTATTCTCTTATTCAAATGGTTGTAACATACATCCAAATGATGAAGAAATTATTCCATCTACGAATGTGTCGTTTATATGTATAGAGACGATAAGTGGATATCACTACACATTAAGAAAAAAAATCTATGATTAACCATAAAACTTGAGTGCTTGAATTTTCTTCTTGCTTACAATCACAAGTTTATCGCTATAGAAACATGACAATTATGATCCAATGAAATATTAGGCAACATAACAAGTCAGCATAGCTTGAATTATGAAGGAAGCAAATCAACTAACTCTTTATTGAGCTTGCGTTTTGGGTATGAACCAATTTTCAACATAAAAAATTTTAAACATATTAACATTAATATACAAACATTCTGATGCTAAAGATGTGGGTTATTTATTTGCCTAAGCCTCAACACAGCATCTGCTACTTGATCATCATGCATCCATCTAGCATAAGAGATAAGGTTCATGTAGCCTTGTATTTGGGGAATGATTGCTGCTTGTTCATTACGTTTATCAAACAGTTCATCGACAAAATTATGCAATCTCTTTTCAATAAGATATCAGTCGTCTATAATGAAATTATGGAGATTAGTCGTTTAAATTTATAGCTTTGATTCATATACTTGAAATATAGTCTACATTCAATAAATTTATACCAAAACTCGTTTAAATTTATAGCTTTGATTCATATACTTGAAATATAGTCTACATTCAATAAATTTATACCAAAACTTTCCCTAAATATAATTAAAATTTCATATACTTGAAATATAGTCTACATTCAATAAATTTATACCAAAACTTTCCCTAAATATAATTAAAATTTAAAATAATATTAAAAATTTTACCACGTGCATTGCACGTGCATTCCACCTAGTAATGGTATAATTGTGAGTTATAAAAAAATTAAAAGGGAGAAAAAGGAAATCAAAAGTTTTGATATGAGTATTCTCTTTTATAAGTAGTAAGTATATATAAATTATAAATGATGGAAATGGTTTAAAACTTTATGATATTTGACAAATCTTTCCGCTTCTAGGAACGACCTTTATATGAACACCACATGTTGTATGTTAGTGGGAATATAAATTTTATCAATAGAATCTAGGGCCAATCCTTACCCCTCTTAATAACTATCCATAATTCTTCTCAAATTAATGCCTAATAATGGCTTGAGGCCTACACTTTTCATCTCCTACTTGTGCACCATTTTCAAAGTTCCCATTTAACATAAGCTGGTGAAGACAATAATCCTTAATATGGAATAATTTGTTACAAATAATAATCATTAACATGAAATAAAAGCTTGAAGCTTGTAAGGTTTTTTTAATAAAAATTCCCCAAGGACCCAAAATATGGGGATTAACAAGGGGGACAAGTGATGTGTTCCCCCTCCTATTGCATAATGAGTTAGTCATCATCCAACTCATTATGCAATAGGAGGGTAACACCTCACATGTCCCCCTATTGGTCTCATATTTTGAGTCTCTATAACTGAGTTTTTTTTAATCTCAAAACATGAGTTTTTAAACGCCAAAATTTAATAATTGGTTACAACTCTTAACATGAAATTTGTATATATGCGCGCTTCAGTTTTTGGTTATAGCCTCACCATCCAGATGCGAAAGATTTGATATATAATAATAAGGCTCAAACCAGTAAGGACTAGAAAAATCAACTTCTAAGAGGATTCCAAGTTCGTTCAAAATGTCCACACAATAAAGAAAAAAATTTGATAATATCAATATTTAGGTAACTAAATACTAAAATGAGCATAAATTAGGAGCAAGACGGATAAACTTTTACTCATTGTCACAGTATTGCAAAAGAAATGGATAAACTTGAACTATTGTTAATCACAATCCATCATCATAAAAGAAATGGACGATACGATATTTAAAAGAATGTATAACAAAAATTCTCTTAAAGAATCAAAAGTGATCTTGTAGTAGGCGAGAGATGGAGAATGAGGTGTGATTAAAACGTATGAAAGATTAATTATATTTATAGGTTAAATTGCAAAAAAAAAACCTATAGTTATGCTAATCTTACAAATATGTGACCCTTATTTTTAAAACTGAGCAAATAAATACCCCAATTTTCCCACTGTTAAAAAACATGGCTACCGTTAAAAAAATTTACAATCACCAAAATACGTCCTCCCTCGTTTGAAAGAAGAAACTAGATAATGTATGAGAGGGGTGGTTGTATTATAATTTGGATGAATTTTAAGGGTATAAAACTGTAGTAAAATACCATGTGACAACTCACATGGGTATATTTTAATAATATTTTAATAGATAACTAACGGATGGCATCAATTTGCAACAGTTTAAAAACTCTGAGGTATTTAATTGCAGGGTTTTAAAACTTTAGGGTATTTATCTGCAGGATATAAAAATATTGGGGTGTTTATTTGCTCGGTTTTAAAATAGGAGTCACTTAAGATTGGTGGAACTATAGGACATTTTTCTTCAATTTAGCCTTAATTATATGGAACTTTAAGAGGATGATCACTTCTCTTTTAACCACATGTACAAAATACAAGCATAAAAAATGAAATAATAAAAGTCATGAATAGAAAGAAAAAGAAATAAAGTAACAAACCATGTCAACAACTTGCATATATAGGCAACAAAATTATAACTAAGAAACATAGTATGATGTCATGGATCCCATCTTCATCCTTGGCTTCACTCACAACATTAAAAGATCATAAGGTAGTTTGATTTTCCCCTCTTAATTTTGACGATAAAGTTTGATTGTGTGGATGTTTAATAGAAGAGAGAAAGGAGGTTAACGATATAAGAATTTAGAGAGACAAAGATGTTGACCTTCTTGTTTTGATGATGTTTAACATTTAATTTACTCCTAATGTTGTTTGACTAGTATTTGTGTTTTCGTATTTATTTTAGGCAAACAATGTGTTGGAGGATGGATGGAATCAAGCTTTCACGATCATATTAAATGGAGGTTGACGGAATAGTGAAGTGAAGCCTTGCTATCAAGTTAAAGATCCAATTACAAGCTTCATCCAAGTTTATCAAGTTGAGCTACAATGAAGATCAAGATCAAGCTTGGGTAACATTTAGTTTAGGAGTTTATATTATGTGTGTTAGTACTTTAAGCTCAATCATATACACACATACATGTTTTGGTTTTGTATATATATAGTTGTTGGCCTTTTGTTTTGATGATGTTTAACAAACAATTTACCACTAATGTTGTTTGTCTAGTATTTGTATTTTGTATCTATTATAGACAAATAACGAGTTGAAGGTTGGAAGGAATTGCGCTTCAACAATCATATCCAATGGAGGTTGGCGGAATAGTAGAGTGAAGCAATGTACATTCAAGTTAAAGATACAAGTTCAAGCTTCTTCCGCAAGTGTACCAAGTCAAGCTTATTGAAGATCAAGATCAAGCTTGGGTAATTTAGTTTAGGTTTATATATTATGTGTGTTGGTACTCTAAGCTCAATCATATACACACATACACATATATATATATATATACATATATATATATATATATATATATACATGTTTGGTTTCATATGGTAAAGTTGTTTATGTACACATGTATTTATAAGTTTTACAAAATACATGAGTTTTCACAAATGGGAAATTCAATTTGAGAAATTCTTTTTCTAACATGTTCAATTTTATGTTTATAAATGTTTTCCAAAGTTTTATTAATTTTGGAATTAATTTGTCAAGTTTAATTGAATTTACAAAATCAAGTTTTAAATAAGTTCATGTTCGTGCACATGTTCGTGCATGTTTTTGCAAAACAGATGAGTTTTCACAATTGGGAAATTCAATTTGAAAATTTTCTTTATTTACATGTTTATATTCATATATACAAACATTTTCCTAAGTTTTACTAATTTTGGAGTTGTTTTGTTATTTTCAATTGAATTTACATAAACGTGTTTTCAGCAGTTTTTTTAGAAACTGTATATCTGTGTTCAAATAATTATTTCTCTTAACTGGAAAGTAATATTTCATAAATTATTTCTCTAAAATGTTCATCTACATGTATAGAATATTCCCTAAAAATTTTATGATTTTTGGAGTTAATTTACAATTTTTAATTGATTTTACAAAGTTAGATACACAAATTTCCAGAATCTGTCAAAATCTGGAAAAGTGCGGTCGACCGCCACGGCCGATCGTGCTACAGTACGGCCGACCGTACGCAGTCCAGAGAGCATTTTTTGAGTTTTTCTTCTCACGGTCGACCGCGGCGGTCGACCGCCGATGTTACCGTTGCACAGTAACGATAACTTGCTGAATTTTATCTTTTAGTGGTTTTTAGTGGTTTTGGGGGTTGTTTTCTTCTACCCTATATATACCCTATTGTATTTATCATTTGATACACTATGAGAATGTTTTAAAAGATTTTAACAAGGGTTTAAGTTTGTTTTATTTTTATTTAAAAGAGTGTTTAAGAAGCTTTTAAGCATTTGAGAGTTTGAGTTTGTGAAATCTATTTCACAAGAGCTTGAGGAGATTGTCTATTGGTGTTTGAGCATCCAACTATACTCCCTCGATCTCTTGATCTATTGAGAAGTTTTCTAAACTCTATTTCTAGCTCTTTTATATATATTTGATTATTATTGTTATTAAACTAGAATTATATTGAGTTTAGTTTTGATTTGTTTCTCTTTGCTTACACACACACAACCATTAAGCTTATTGTATTTACATTCATAGTATATTTGGGTTGTGAGATTATATCATTGAGAGTGAGCTTACATTATGTTCTTATCTATTGTAGAGAACAAATCATTTGTTATATTGTGAGATTGTAAGGTTTTCGGTGAGCTAGAAAACCGAGTATGTTGTTGTAAAGTTTTCGGTGAGCTAGAAAACCGAGTGAGAGTGTGAGGTATGAACGTTGATCGGTGAGCGTTGAAAATCGATATTGTGAGGTGTAAATGTTATTCGGGTGAGCGTAGAAAACCCAGTTGTGATAGTGGATTTCTCCCCGGGAGTGGGGAGCGGAGACGC